AGTACTTCAAAAAAGCTAGGGCCACTCCACCAAGGACAAATTTCTTGACCCATCCTCTGGTCCATATTTTTGCCCATTAGACCAGATATAGGCAAGAAGACAACATCTTAACAACAAAAAAGTAAGAGAAGAAATTAAAAATGCTGTTTGACCATAGTTAAACTGCAATGTTTACAGTTCAGTGCATACCTTTCTTTGTGTTGTAGCCAGAGGCTTTCAGGAACGGTACCATTTTTTGTTCTATTTCATCGTACCTGCATAGGATTTACATAATTACAAGGATGTACAGAAGAAGATACGAAAATCATCATTGACAAGGAATCAAAAGGTCTTCTAATTACCTTTCTTTCGACCAGTTCACAGTTGGGTCATCCATCTTGTTCACAACAACAATCAGTTTAGAGACACCCAATGTTTTGGCAAGTTGAACATGTTCACGTGTCTGCCCACCCCTCTCATATCCTGTTTCAAATTCACCTTTTCGAGCTGAAATCACCTATATCAGAGAGGCGTGGGTAGGGAAGTTAATAAGCTTCCTACTGGAGAAGCTAAATCAACAGAAAACAAATTAACTTATAAGCTGACTAACCAGCACACCAATGTCCGCTTGAGATGCTCCACTAATCATATTGGGTACGTAACTCTTGTGCCCCTATAAGTCCAGAAAAGCACACAAGAATTAGAACAGAAAACTCATCCAACAAATATTCTGCAACCCAGATTCCCCGCATAAAACAAAAATAAATGGAAAACGATTAGTTTAGATTGATCCCTTACCGGAGCATCTAAAATAGTGAATCTAGTGCTCTCCGTTTCAAAGTGAGCCCTTCCAACTTCAACTGTTTTGCCCTGTCAAATTAAGCAAATTATTCATAGCACTTAGCAAACATATATTCAACAATAACCTTGATGGGATTTCCATAAACAAATTATCATCAAATACATGCATTTTAAGCAAAAGAACAAACATTGACCAAAACACATGAAGTACCTTAAGCCTCTCTTCTTCATTTGTATCCATTATATATGCCATATACCTAACATACAGGGAAATAAAAGTTTCAAAACTAGTTAGAAAGCAAAGCACTCATTTCAGGTTTGACCAATCAGGAACACTCACCAGCTTTCTCTACTTTTGTCTTTTGCTTCCTTCTCATACTTTTGGATTTGTCGATCATCCACCTGACCACTAAGAAAAAGAATCTGTCCTCCAATTGTGGACTTACCAGCATCTATAATTGAAAAAAATTGAAGCCAGAAGTCAGCCATTATAAACTTAAAAGTACACAGACAGAAAGGTCATGGCCAATGGGGATTTCAAATCTGTATTACATAAGCTCTGAAACCCTGTGTCTACACAAGGCAATTATCTTGCAACCTCCAGCTTTAACAAAAACATGCCCATAAAAATAAAAATAAAAATCATTAAGTAGATAGTCATACCAACATGCCCAATGAACACAACATTCAAGTGTCTCTTTTTATTTGCTTCTGCAACATCTTCAGCTTCCTCTTTGGCAGCCTTCTCTTGAGCAGCTTTCTCTTTAGCTAAGATAGATTATATATATCAGAATGATAAATAAATCGTCAGGCAGACAACAGGATACCAGAGAGATGAGACGGGAGCAGTATGAGAAGATAGTCAAGTCAACGAACCTTTCGCTGGATTATGGACTGGATGAAGCATTACTTCATCATGATCCTCAGAAGCTGAAACCACCAAAGTCCAAAGAAAAAAAGTTTGTTATGGCAAAGTAAGATAAAGCAAACTAATTTGAAGTGAAATAAAAAGAAAAGGAAACTGATGCCAGGAACCTTCTTGCTCATCAGGAACTGGAATTGATTCTTGCACTTCATCTTTCAAGTCTGTAAGTAAAGATAAAATACATGGTTATTCTCTTTGTCAAATGATTTGGCTTTGTGTATGTATTGTAATAGGTACCTTCCGGTGCTTTATCCAAATTCTCAACTTCATGTGAGTTATGAACTTCTGGAATGACAACACCATTGTTTTCATCTGCATATATTAACACCAAAATTTGGTACCATAGAAATAAGAAGGAAACAAAAATACAGTTAAAGCTAGTTGTCTCTATTACCTGCCGAATCAAGCTGTAATGCGCGGATCTCAGCCTCAAGATCTGCACGGCGTAAAAATGTATAGGAAATAAGAATTATCACCTCCAACAAAAAACGTACAGACATTTAGCAAAGAATTCCACAAAATACCCAATCCCTCGCTAACTGAGAGTTAAATTCACTCGAATTCCAAAGAGAAATAGCTAGGTCAGTTCTACGCAAGCCAATTAAAACCAACCAATCAGCTAAACCCTAATCCGATTTCTAATCCAAAAGCCGATAACCCTCCTTCCGATTTAAGATTAACTACCAGAGCAACAAATCAATCAGCTTCATAATCGAAGTTAACACAGTAAAACGCAAAAATTCAACAAAAATTGAAGAAAAGATCCGATCGACCAACAAAAGTAGTAAGCGCATAATCGAGAAATCGAGAGAGAAAGAAGACACATAGACCAATGACTAGAAAGAGAGAGCTCGAGAACCCGTACCCATGGCGGATTGAAGAAGCGAACGAAAGGAAAAGGGTTTCTAGGTTATCTCGCGAAAGAAGAAGAAGAAGCGCGTTAAGGGATCCACCAAACGAACTAGTGCCGCTTCTATGAGGCTCTCATTTTTGCCCAGGTGGATCTTTTATATTCCCTTTTTTTGCGTAATCAAATTTTTCTTATTTCACATCCCAAAACTCACGTGTCAGGTTTAACGTAAATACGACGTCGGTTAGCTAATATAAGGCCATAATGAAAGCCCAACTAATGGGCCTTAGTTACCCTTGTGTATGATTGTTGGAAGGCCCATATTCACTATTGTGAGCAATATTTATTTTGTACAACAATTGGAAAAGCCTTTGTAAAAAGACACTAGATTTTCAACCGCGGGGACTAATTATATTTTAAAGTTAATATATATAAAAGTTTGTAATTTGTAACTATCTATGTAACTTTCTATAAAATATTTTTATTTTATAGTTTAGAATTGTTATTAAGTAACGTCCTGCCAAACCCGTCCCGCCAACCCGTCCCGTAAAAAAAACTCATTTATTTTATTAATGTTGATCTTATTTATCATATGTTTATGAATCATTGTCTAAATATTTTGTAATTTTGTAGTAATTAAATGCTATCAAATATCTCTGCGGTTTGATGATTATAATTGAATTGTAATAGTCATGCAGAAAAACAATATCAATAATGATAATTTTGTAGTAATTAAATGATATTAAATATTTTGAAAGTTTTATTTTAGTAACCAATCGTGTAGTTAATGTAGAGAGATTTTAGGAAAATTGTTAAATGTCAAATATTTAATTCGAAGATTTTTTTCTAATTATCAAAAACAAATATTAATCTAGTGGCAACCATTGTAAATAAATCCCAACTACAGGATTTATTTCATAAAATGGCTGCAAAAATGTATATATAGATAGATGTGTATAAAAAACAGAAGAATTTGCTTGTAATTTTTATTTTATTTTTTTAACACACCCTTATAATTTTCAAAAGTTTGTATCTTTTACATAATTTCTTTCAGTTAAAGAAAGTTAAAAGTTGAATGCAAAAAACACAAAAGCACTAATGAGACTAAGTTCTTTTCTGTAGGAAATCTACCCATAGATTCTTTTTGGGGTTATTATCATCTGTTATATCCATCCTTCAATCTTGACCGCACAATGTTATCTTCTTGTTTTGTATGTTCCCGATAGACCGATACTTTGGAATTTTAATCCAAAAAAGAAATTGAATGTTGCAATCAGATTTAAGAATGACAAAAGAAGGAGTGGGGTTACACAAAAGCCAATGAGGAGGCATGTGACGTTTTTATGTAAAAGGGAATCTAATAGCTAAACAATGTCAGTCCATTTCCCTAAAGTCCTTTTCATTACCACCCCCACCCATTCTATTTTCTTTATTTTGAATTTGGTATGATGATATTTTCATCATTTCATTTCATGTACTAATCAAGCTCCATATTCCATATGAATAAATGTTACTTTAATAGCAAAAATCGTTATCAGACTCGTCTATTCATTAGTTGCGTGTCCACTCTCTTATTATATTCTTATTCAATTGAATTTTTCCAATCTAAAGTAGGTTAGAAAAAGATTGGCAAGATTTGTTTCATGATTAACAATTTAAATAAATAAATTAATTAAATTAACAGACTAAAAAGAGTGAATTAAAAAAATAACTAGAAAAAAGTAAGTTCTTGAGTAGTAATGAAAGTGACAATTGCTAGTAAATAAGTGGTTTATGAAATCATATATATGAAGTGACAATTGCTGTAAATATGTGATTTAATAGCTTTTCATTAAATATCACAACAAAAAATCTGTGAAATGAATCAATAGCTATTAAATCACAAAAGTAAAAAAATCTGTGAAATGAATCAATAATCCTAACTATTAATGGGTTTAAGAAAAGTCCTCGAAATGAATACCATCTTTGACTCCCTCTTTCTTTCTCATTAGGGCTACAGATTTTTGTCTTTAAAAAGCCATTCAAGTTTCAATGGTTTTTCACTTTTGTTCTCCTCCTCCCTTTTTTTCTTTTCAGGATTCTTCTTTTCTATGTTTTATCTTTCATAATAGATCTGATAATTTTGATTTTTCACTATATATATTATGGTTAATACTAGTAGCTTTTTCATTTCAAGTTTTATCCTTCCATTGGTTCTTTCTGAGTCAAATTGTCTCCTGTTTCGAACCATATATAAGTTTTCAATGGTTTTGTATTAACTCAAGTATTCAACATTATGTCTCTCTTTTTCTTGCTTGGATCTCTAATGCTGTTCATATTTTAAAGCATAGGTTTAGGTTAGATGCATGTAACTGCCAATTAAAAGAAGGTCAAGAGTTTTTTGATTGTATGAATATATGAGTTAGTCAAAGCAGATCCACACGATTATATAGAAAAACAAAGGAAGAAGAAGAGGAAGAGCTCCTTGAAGTTCAATGGAGGGTTTAGCAGGGTGAAGTAAAGCTGCTAAGCTATGGATCCCATAAGCCTTATCAAATTCAATATAATTGATGATAAGGTTTTTTTTATGGATGCCATATCTCAGGAGCTTTCACTTACCCCTTTAATGGCTTCACTCTTCTTTGGATTGAAGGGAGCTCTTCATCTCTCCATCCCTATCTCTCTCTCTCTCTCTATCTTTAGTTCTTTTAAGAATGACTTTTCATTTTTTGTGTTGTCTGTTGCAGGTGTATAAACATGGATGATGGATCTTGAGTAGGATTTTTTATTTTATTTTCTTGTGACATATATGCAATTTTTATGGTTTGTACTTTGTATTTCCATTAGTTTCGTACTTTTCAGTTATGTATCATTGTTAATTCTAATGTTTGAAGACATTTAGAGTTTATACTTCTCTAAATTACTTTTTCGACTCAATAAAGTCGTTTAAGTGTCTACAAGTATATACCGTGTTAATACTTTTCAATTCATATCCACCATTGTATAAAGATATGATCCGCTTTTATTTAAGTGAATCAATTAATTTACAGTATTCCTCTATATCTCTCTCACACTGTTCGAATAAATTTAATACTCAACAGATCTAGTTTGAACTTTTTAAATAAGTTTAGGCCTTGAATGGTACTGGTTTTTAAAATTGATTTTGGCTTTTTATTTTACAAAATCCACTTTTTCACCCATTCATGATTTTATAAAAAGTTAATTCCCTAAATTATAGGGAATCCAGATTTTTAAAGATTCTAGTCATTTGTTCTTAAAATCCAAAACCCACTTTTTTGGGATTTTCAACAAATTCTATCGTAAACTCTTTTTTCTATTTTTAAAAATAAAAATAAAGTTTTAAATAAATAATTTTAAAACGTTTCTAAATAATAATTATATAAAAATCAAAAACTAGAAAAGTTACCATTTAAGATTTTGCAAAATCTAAAATCTCCACCAAAATCAAAAACTCATAAAATCAAAAACCAAAAACCAAAAGCCACAATCCAAAATCCAAAAACCCACCAAAATCAACAAAACATTCATGGCCTTAGCCGAAGAAAATTATCATTGTTGAACAAACTTATTAAATTCGGATTGGCTTATTTGATGCATCCAGATTGCAAAACTATATTTTTGAATACAGCTGGAAATGTTTTTAAAGTGTAAAACAACGGTATATATATAAGTCAAACTGGTTTTTTTTGTAGATTTCTCTCCCTTTAGCAAGTTTTATTGCTTTCCTATAATCCATAATATTTACATCCAAAACAGCAATTATATAAGATTTTCTGCTATTTCAATACGATGTTATACTATTTCGGCAGATGTACGTACTACATTACATCTAAACAATCCAGATTGATAACTATATTTGATGTAATCTCGAATTAGTCAATCTCTGTACCACATATAAGAAATTTTGCTTTTTTCACAAAAGAGTTGTTAGAAATTTGACCTATACAAAAATAATGACCACGATAAATGAGTATATACATGTACGTAAGATAAATGTAAAGTTGTATATTTGTGCGCCATTCATGATTCATTCCACGTATATATTGTTTGTTCGAATCAAAGCAAACTCAGAAAATGAAAACGCTGAATGACGATAAAAATAGGGACGCTTTTGTTCGAATTAGCGTGCCCATTATGTCACGAACGTAGATTCAAGTCTTGGCCATAAAACAGGATTCCTTATAGCATCCACCAAAACACGAGAAATCATTCTCAAAAACAGTCTCTCCAAATCCGAACTAAACAACTCATAGCCCATATAATAAGGTCTGTAGTGGGATGCGTTTTTGGCTTTTAGAACATACCAATTGGAGAACACGCTTTCTTACACATGGAAACAAATTACGAACGCTTCCACCAAATATGGGCTGAGATAAGCCCATTAACATAAGACCCAGTAATAAATATATAATATGAGCCCATATTAAATGAACCCTAATCCATTTTTAGTTTCTATCATATAAATAGCTTCTTGTGTTTTTCACGCCCTTCTTCTTTGTATTTCCGCCTCCCCCGAGAAAACGAAAACCCTAGTTTCAGAGGCATCTCCAGACACCGAAAATGGCGGAAGGACTCGTTTTGAAGGGCACCATGCGTGCACACACTGACATGGTGACGGCAATCGCCACCCCAATCGATAACGCAGACATCATCGTCTCAGCTTCCCGCGACAAATCCATCATTTTGTGGAAACTCACCAAGGACGACAAAGCCTACGGTGTAGCTCAGAGGCGTCTCACTGGTCACTCTCACTTCGTTGAGGATGTTGTTCTCTCCTCCGATGGACAATTCGCGCTTTCCGGCAGCTGGGACGGCGAGCTCCGTCTTTGGGATCTTGCTGCTGGTGTCTCCACTCGTAGATTCGTTGGACACACCAAGGACGTGCTCTCCGTCGCCTTCTCACTCGACAACCGTCAGATCGTCTCTGCATCTCGTGACCGTACGATCAAGCTGTGGAACACTCTTGGTGAGTGCAAGTACACCATTTCAGAAGGTGGTGAGGGACACCGTGATTGGGTTAGCTGCGTCAGATTCAGCCCTAACACGCTTCAGCCGACGATTGTATCTGCTTCGTGGGACAAGACCGTGAAAGTGTGGAACCTTTCGAACTGCAAGCTCAGATCGACTCTTGCTGGTCACACCGGTTACGTGAGCACTGTGGCTGTATCACCTGATGGTTCTCTTTGTGCAAGTGGAGGCAAAGACGGTGTTGTTTTGCTGTGGGATTTGGCTGAGGGGAAGAAGCTTTACTCTCTTGAAGCTAACTCTGTGATCCATGCTCTTTGCTTCAGTCCCAACAGGTACTGGCTCTGTGCTGCAACTGAACATGGTATTAAGATTTGGGACCTTGAGAGCAAGAGCATTGTTGAGGATTTGAAGGTTGATCTCAAGGCTGAGGCTGAAAAGGCTGACAACAGTGGTCCTGCTGCCACCAAGAGGAAGGTACACAAATATTTTCCCATGATGGTTCAATCATATGCTTTTAATCGATTACAAGTTTTCAGCTTTTGTATAGGAAGAATTTTCTGTAGTTGGTTATGATGTTGATTATGACTTGTGATTAAGTATTACCCATAGCTGAGTATATCATAATTCGTAATGTTGGTCTGTTATTGAAAATGTGAAAGTTCGTAAAAAGTTTCTTACATGGATTATTCTATTCAAATGCTACACGATGATATATGTAAATGGTCTTCTACACTTGGTTTCAGTTTCAGATTCTGCAATTATGTTTGCTTGAATTACCATTCCGTTTGGAGACTTAGGCTCTCTATCTTCTTTATCTGTTTTAATCTTCCATATATAGCAATTACCATAATTGTGTTTTCGCCCCAGTTTGAGCCTAAATTGTTAATTAAGGTTGTCTTTTAATGGTTTTGTGTGTCCATACTCATTGATTACCTGACATTTCTTGTTAGGATCATAGTAGTAGTAATATTTTTCTCCTGATACATAGCCCTTTGTTTGTTGTGTAATAGTACATGTAAATAACCATGGAAAGTGACTGAATTCAATTTGTTTGTTGATTGGGTCAGGTTATTTACTGCACAAGCCTTAACTGGAGCGCTGATGGAAGCACCCTCTTCAGTGGTTACACCGATGGAGTCATTAGAGTTTGGGGTATTGGTCGTTACTAGTAATCTCATCACTTGTGCTGTCGTTGCTCTCTGCTATCTGCTTGTTGGTTTTATCTATCACTTATGTTTTTATCGACAACTCATGAAGTACCTTGAGGTTTTTGGAAGGATGTTTGTTTTCTTGTCAATCTAGGTTTTTGCTTCTTTATCTTATCGTTCGAGATCTTGGTTTTTAGAGTTACTTCTCCCATTTTGTGGCAAATGATTCCCATTAATAATATAGCGAAATGGTGGAATAGCGGAATTCTCTAAAATTTGTAACTTTATCCAATATGACAGATGAACCAAATGATTTTTAACATGTAATAAACTACTGATTTGCAACGAACTAAGAAGGTTATAGACATGAACATACTATCTTTGGAAATGGACATGAACTGCCGCTATTACTGCTGCTTCCTTCGACCAACGAAATTTCGCCACATAGACTGGTAAAGTCGAACAGCCGCTATTACTGCTGATGTGGCATCTGTCGTATTTTAATCACTCCCGCCATTGCCTTTTCGCGCTAAGTTTTTTTTTTTACTTATGCTTTTTTACTCTAGACTGGAAAAACAAAACAAAAAAGGCTATAAAAAGAAAAATAAAGAAGACAAATTCGCAAGAACCCTAAAAAGAAGAAGATAAGAAATCGGAAATGGGCATCAAGGACCTTCTCAGATTCATGAAACCTTATATCCTTCCCATTCACATCCAGAAATACGCCGGGAAACGAGTAATTTTCTCCGACTTGTTTTCTTAATGTTCTCCATTTCCTTCTCGATTTTAGTTTCCGTTAATCGTTCTGGGTAAATCTCCATTAAAAATCAAGTTTTTAAATGATGGGCTTACACATTTTTGTATGTCCAGGTGGGAATCGATGCTTATTCATGGCTACACAAAGGAGGTAATCTTCCTGCTCTTAAATCTCCAGAACTGTTTTATCTGTTAGTAAACCGTGTAATTGCAATGAAACCAAACGAATAAATATATTATTGAATATGGATATCAATTGAAGCAATTTCGAGCTGAGAGTAATCTATTTACTGGGTGGTTTTCAAATTCATGACTTGATGGAAAACTTTTTCTACAGCATACTCATGTAGTATGGAGTTGTGTTTAGACACTGATGGGAAGAAGAAGCTGAGGTACATTGATTACTTTATGCATAGAGTCAACCTTCTTCAACACTATGAGATCATTCCTGTCGTTGTTCTCGATGGTGGTAATATGCCCTGCAAGGCTGCCACTGGTGATGAACGTCATAGGCAAGTCTCTCTAGTTTGATTTGATCTTATTTGGTTCATCCTCCTTTATGAATTTTTTCTTTTAACTAAGCTTTTGGTATTTTGTTTTGATTATCAGGAAGCGAAAGGCTAACTTTGACGCTGCAATGGTGAAGCTGAAGGAAGGGAATGTCGCAGCAGCTACTGAGCTTTTTCAGGTGCTTACTTCTTATTTCAGTGGCTTCGGTCTATAAAATGTATAATAGTAACTATCACTGTTAATTAGCAGCTACAGAGCATTTTCAGGTGCT